ATACAAAGACAATCAATTGACCAAAACTTACGCAAACTTGCCGAAACCGCAGGATTTGCAGATACCTATACACAAGATTAAAGCGGATATTTTAAAAACATTAAAGACTATATATATCTAAACGGTGAAAAATACAGACCACAAGATATTTCACCTATAAATATTTTTAGCTTTGTTACACTAAAAAATGAAATTCTCGATTTTCTAGGATGGCCCTATTACATCTTAGAAAAATTAACTATTTTATACGCAATGTTTAACTTTATAGGATATCTTTTTTCACTTTTAAAAGGAATCTATAACACATGTGCTATTTACACACAAGTAAACAGACAAGCAAGTGTAGCACGCATATTATTTGCAGGATTTTTTGGAATTTTTTCATCATCCATAAACAAAATCCTTCTAGACGCACAAATAAAAGAATATATAGCACAAAAATAGCGACAAGACAGAACACATACGACGAAGAACATAATAATATAGAAGTAACGCCTACAGCACCACAGTTGCCACCCCTACCACATAACCATCCATTATCCTTAGTCCCACGAAATTTCCGAAACTTAGCAATAACACATAATCCAAATTTTAGACAAACCATATTGCAAAGTCCGATACAGCATATAATGACACATCATTCACAAGATGAAAATACAAATTATCGAACAACCCCATACCACCGCTTTTCAGTCTCAAAATACTAATTTTTTTAGCCCACGATGAGCCGACAACTTGGATCCCTACATCGATCAAATTCCCACCCAATCAACCTCAACACTCCAATTACAATAATCCCACTTTTTGCTTTCCCGCCACCCGATTTCCCAACTAGTAATTCACATCAAGCATGAATTCAGACACTAATTCAGATACTTCAGTTTTATACTCCATTTCACAACTCAATAACCCTAATATAGAAACCCCTGATGAATTTGCAGACTCCGAACCATCTCCATCCAATAATTTTCAAACCAACTCCTCAGTTTTTTCAAAACCCCCTTTTCAACCAATCCCACCACATAATCCACTCCCGCCCATTTCTACCCCCTCTTATGCTTCACAAATAACCCCAACCTACTCTTCATTTCATTCAGACCGATCATCCAATTCTCCAAATATTCCCCAAGTCTCCCAAGAACTAGATAATTTTATCACCCTACAACAACAGCTGATACACCCTAACACCCTCACTCTAAATCAAATTTCATCCACAATAGAATCCTCAAATCCACCTACCCCTACACCCTCTTCAGCTTATACTGCTTCATTAGCACAATCATCCGCATCCACCGAATCATCCAATAGCACTAATAGAGCTTATCGCACTTTTAAAAGAAAATTCCCAAACCATCCATTCCCGACCAAACCAGGAACAGCCCGTGAATATATTAATCACCCACACCACACTAACACGAAAGATTTCCTAGCAATCACCCTACCTTCATTTCCACAATATACTTTAAACACACCTCACGACATTGACGACACACGTAGTTTTGTAGATGAACATGTTTTAATGCCTACACTTCATTGGACAACCTATTATAATTTTACTAATCCCCTTTGCCTACCGTTATCTAATACTCCTAACGATATAGAAAGGAATAACGATATGCTATATCGACTCACCACGCCACTAACACATCGACAATTTACTTATATAGGATATAAAAAATTACTAAAAACATTCACTGCACCTCGAGCTAACGAATTTACACTAGAATATTACGACCATAATATCATCAGAACTAACCAAGATCAATTTTTAGATGACGACCACTTCGCTAACCCACAACTAACAGAAAAATTTTTCATCAAAACACCATATGTTTTTAAACTTAATATATATGATCAAAAATATGATCACATCATTTCTGAAGCACTAACTGACATGCAAGCTTACGAAAGTTTTAGTGAAAAGTTTCAATTATTTTCACTAACCTTCCACTTCCTTGCACCACATGAACGCAATTTGCACTGCTCACACGACATTATGTTACGCACTAAACAAACCCACACCTATACATATTATCGCTTCATCCAAAATCATTTTGATCTACACACTCCATCAAGACAACCACACCATCGTTTTCAGTTTCTTAATTCAAAGTACACTTCGCCATTTTTTCTAAATTTCACGTATTGCATCAAAGATACTAACCTCCACGGCATCCTCCGCAATTATGACCCAATATCACAAATGTATATATTTTGTCCCATCACGAAGACCTTTAACGCTGAAGAATCCAGACCCTTCCTTATCCCACGTGAATTTATCCAACCTATAGAAATCCCTATATTAGAATTCATCTATAATACTAAATACAATCACAAAATATATTATCTAATTCAAAACACACCTTATGAGTTTGCAGTTGGCACCGAAGAACTAAAAACTATTAAAGCACTTCAATTGCTTTGGCCACTGCTTCAAACTTAAAACATCATTCGCATACTAGCAAAATTACTAACAAATTCCGACATGATACACGACATCTTCCCGCACGGTTTTTTCCCCGACGACTAACAGGTAAGTATAAATTATACATATTCTTTACTAATAAATTTGAAATTTTTACTAACCATTCTTTATTCATGTCTCATTTAGATTTTTAGTCTTTATCCCACGATCATCTGCAAAAAACAGAAAATAAAAAAAAAAAAATAAAAAACTTGTTTAAATTCTTCTTAACTCTATTAATATTTTGCACTAGATCAATATAATAAAATTCATACCAATGTAGTAAATTAATTTATTAATTGTTTCCCCAAAAGCAGTAAATTTAAAAATGATGAAAATTTGTAACTTGAATTTTTCCCCAAAAACTAGCAGTAAAATTAAAATTCTACGTAGTAAATTGATAAAATGAAAATGCAGTACTAACCTTTTGTTATTTTCATTCACTCGCACAAGAATTCTATCCAAACTCGCACAGCTCGCCCACGAAGAATTGTTTAAATAATGAATTTCAGTTTCAAGTTTTCACACTCAACAACTCTAACACAAGATAACAAGTTTCAAATTTTCCTTTAACCCGGTTGGAAAGGAATTATATACTAAACCAAACTAACCAACGCAGCTGACTAAACACCACAAATCATAAAATAACAGCATAACTAAGAAAAGGAAACCAACGGTACCCAAACCGGATTAACCCAGTTTAAAACTGGATAATTTATTCTTTTGAAGACTATTATAAAGTCTAAGAATGAAATAATAAAACACAAAAAAGTCGAAAGACAAAGCCATAACAAAAACAATTTGATTTTTGAAAAAAGGACACAACCAACGGAACATAAGAAAGACCACCATAAACCCAACATAAAACGTTATCACATAACAGGACCTCTCACAGAAACCGCACGAAATCATACTCCCACTCCTGGCCTAACCCACCAGAGAGGACGTCCTGAACATGCTCTATAGCCAGCCTAACCCACCGCGCTACATCCACGCTTTGTGACCACACTTCTTTTTTTTTAATAAGAGGTACTCAAGGGTGAGTAACTCTTCAAAATAACCGAACTAAAACAAAATGCTTTTGTGAAAACAACTAACTAAAATCATAATTAAAAAACTGAACTAATAAAAATTTTATAAAATGTAAATTATACTTTGCAGTATATAGATCAGCATACAACAACAAAACGAACATCCAAAAACAAAATGACCCCACTACATTCGAAAAAGAATGGTCAACCACAACCAATATGCCGTCCACAATCACAACTCAAAGGATTTAGAGTACAACTTGACTTCGCAGAAAAGGACTTCATTGAACTAGACCAATGACCACCTCGATGTTCAAGTATACGTACAGATCCGAGTTACAAGGCATCCCCTCCACGCACAATCTCCACGCCATTTCCAGACGAGGTCGAACAAAAACAAGTTCTCTACATAATACCGAAAAACCCGTCATAGCAAACCATTCTGAAATCAGATTGATTTCGTTGGGAAACACAGTCGTTGTCACAAGAAGACACAACGATTGATATCCCTCATTCCAGCGTCCTGGAAATTCTCTAACAAGAGGAACCGGACAAGAATATGATGTTCGCCAAATCCCAACGTCCATCATCCATCCTTTGAATTGCAGAAAGATAATTCTAAAAAACTCTGTAAAACCCGGATGGGTGGAACCTGATCTAAACTATATTTTATGATTGGATAAATTAGATATTTTACCATTGTAAAGTATTTAATATTAACCAATCATGATCCATCTAACTAACAACCCACTTATTTGTAAGTGCTGAAATTATGTGTAACTTCAGCACCAGAGAGATTTGAATTTAACTTAGAAATTAGTTGCCTCTCCAAGAGAACTTCAGCAGCCGCAACAAACCAGTATACCCTAGATCTATTGAGCCTAGCAGAGACTAGTTAAACACCCTGAGACTAGTAAGTATAAGAGTAAGATTAGGATCGGTATTAGACTAAGAAGTTGCACGAATCTATCCGGCCGAAAATAAGATAGCGTGACGAGCAGACGGTGTACCCTATCCGAAATTACTCTATGAGTTAACCACATCGATCTTAACTCATCTGGTGCGACCATAAGTCTCGAATAGGACCTTAATAGCTTAGGTTTAACCAAAAATAGATTAGAAATTAGACTAAACATTGAACTCTCGCTGCTTGGCGAACGCTCGAAAAAGACCGTCCCATTCTGAGGGGTTTGAGACGGTGTTCTGCTTAGAAAAAACGGCCGTCATTCTTAAGATACTTAGTTTTGTTCCAAGATGTGTTCACATATTGTGTATGTTTTGTATTCGTGTGGCGGTGACATCAAAGTCGGGCGTTCCTGACGACAAAATTGATTTTGGAAAGATGTCCATTTCCGAAGCTATGTTTTACATATCTCCACATAATATCAGTCATAATCGGTTGCGTAATTAATTATATAGTAAAAGTGTAATTATAGTAAAAAGTCAATCTTCATTCAAGTATCATCATCTTAAGAAACAATCACTTAAGATATAAAAGAACTTACTCGCAATGGTTAACGAAGATTTCAGCTAATTTCAAAAACGGATTATAAAAAAACCACTGCCATAACAGAGCCGTGAAATTTTCTGATAACCTTTTTGAATCAATCCAGTGGTAATTTGCTCAAAATTTTCTCGTGTCTTCAACTGCGAGATCAATCAGAACGTAAAAATGTTCCTTTTGAGACCCTTTTTACTGTTTTATTGAAACAATCTGTGTTATGACAGTTAAGGGAACGATTGAATGGGAATTTTGACACATGAATTGCTTTTTTTACCAAGTAGTGTCGCTGCACAGATTTATTGAACAAAATCACCTGCAGATTCTGAATATATTAGAGAAAAAATAAAAAAAACAAAAGGAAAAAAACTCATTTCAGACTGCATTGTTTTCCCCCCGCCAAATTTCATATCAAACAAAAAGCAAACGTTTCAGTCTAATCGTAAAAACTTCATGATTCTGAATACTCGAGAGAAAAAAGAAAATGGAAACTGAAAAAAAATCCGTAATCTTTTTAGACGGCAATGTTTTTTTTTCGAAACTTTTCTTTTAAACAATAAATGAACGCTTCAGTCTGCTCGAAAAAACGTCATGATTCTGACTACTATGGAACCTGATCTAAACTACATTTTATGATTGGATAAATTAGATATTTTACCAATGTAAAGTATTTAATATTAACCAATCATGATCCATCTGACTAACAATCCACTTATTTGTAAGTGCTGAAATTACTTGTAATTTCAGCACCAGAGAGATTTGAATTTAACTTAGAAATTAGTTGAACTCTCCCGAGTACTTCATCAGCCGCAAAAAACCAGTATACCCTAGATCTATTGAGCCTAGCAGAGACTATTTAAACAACCTGAGACTAGATAGTATAAGAGTAAGATTAGGATTGGTATTAGACTAAGAAGTTGCACGAATCTATCCGGCCGAAAATAAGATAGCGTGACGAGCAGACGGTGTACCCTATCCGAAATTACTCTATGAGTTATACCCATCGGTCCTAACTCATCTGGTGCGACCATAAGTCTCGAACAAGACCTTAATAGCTTAGAATTAACCAAAAATAGATTAGAATTTAGACGAAACATTTTTAAAATGTTACACGACGATAATTTAATCGAAATGTCTCTACGACTCAATAGATCAGAGCCAATATTCCGAACAATAACAGAACTACCCGGAATTGGAAGAAGACCTCGAACCAGAGACGACATACGACAAAGCCAACACAATTTTTTGTATTTAGAATACTACAAGCAATGAATTTAGATTTTCATTTGCAAACATAAAATTTTGAAGTCAATCTTCAAAATCATTTCAGGCGCTAAACAAAATTATTTATATACAATAACGATTGATAAAAAGATCTCAGATCGTTTTCCTAAATTCTGCAGTAATATACAAAACATGTTTGAAAAATATTTATTGAAAAATCAAAATAAAAATTAGTAGCATGACAATAAATTGTTAGTAATCATTAAATCATCTGTTGTCCCAGCTTCATCACCTAAACATAACAGCAATCATAAGCTCACTAATATCATTAAAAAACTAAATCTTTTCTTTACCCAAATTTAAATCATTTTAAACTTAAATTCACTTAAATTTAAAATCAGATCATCAAGGCTCATCCTTGGATCTTAAATTATTTTCTATTTAATTAAATTTAAAACTTGATCATCAAGGCCTATCCTTGGATCAAAAAGAACAAATTTGTTCTCCCCCACCCACTTAGCTAGTGTCTAACGACCTCAAACGTCGATTCACTATCCAACCCTTTCTAAAAACCCAGGACTAACGGAAATTTTTGAACAAAACTAATCATTCAAATTAGGATAAACAGTGAAGAACTTCGGTTATTCATCCTTCACTTGATCCCCCCTCTTACCAGACCCAGGATAAATCTTAGACTTAGTAAGTTTAAAATAGTATCTAACGAACTACTCGCGTTCTAATTATACCTGAACCTTGTGGATCGATTTACTATTCTCCAACCCTTGAACACAATCACTACCCTTAAGTAAGATTAAATAAGTTAACACCTTAGCTTATACTAGCCACGAGAAAGTATAAAATCATTCTTCGCAATCGATATACTTTTCTCTCCAACCCTGAACAAATAGACCCAGGTTAGGCTAACCAAAAAATCGTAAGGACTAACAGTCTAAGAAAATAGAAATCATTTAACAACCTTTTGCATCCGTCATCCTAAACCTTATGTCATTTAAAAACCTAGGAAATAAACAAACAATCGTTTTACACAATTGTGAGATAGATAACACAAAATACGACCTTGTAATCACACCTCATACACAAACAGTTGGATACATTAGAACAAAACGACAAACACTAAAAAGAAAAATAATAACCAAACAAAGACAAATAACACGAAAAAGATTTTCAAAAACCGAAACGCATTTTCAGAATCAGAAACCAGCAGTTTAGACGAACTTTATAAATTAAAAGAATCTATAGATAAAAATTGCCCCATTCACGATCAATTATATTTTTCCGACTCAGAAACAACTTCAAATTCATCAAAAAGAGGAAAAAGAAGAATAAAAATGCAAATAAACACAAACCAGTACATTTATACAATTGGAATCAACCAATTAGACACATTGATAATTACATATTAACAGTCATCAAACGGAAAAATGAGCTCAACGCACACCCCAGGTGAAGAAAGTCCAGATGATGATGATATCTTCCCCTTCATTGTAGATGCAACCACTGATAGAGGACAGCATATACTTTGCAAAAATTTACTCTTAAATTTATTTGAACCCGGAATCAGTCCATGTAAAACAGAGTTCCCAGATGTAAAGATCAAAAGATAAATCATCGATCACTATCTGAAAGATATATGTAACTTAACACAACAATACGGAATCTACTCCATAGAATTCAGCTCACCAAACCAGAATCACAGCAGATATGTAATTCAAACAGACGACCTTGATTTAGAATTTTCAAAAGTATTCTCAGAATATATAAAAAGCATACAATATCATAACTCACAAAGAGCAAACTCCATATTCACCAATGAAGTTTTTGCAATAATATATAGTTATATCTCGATATTAGAAAACGAAATCCCACTCCCAAATGTCTCACCGACAGAAACATCTAAGCACATAAGAGTACGACATGAAATCACACTACTCTCTAGTTTTCTAAATATAATTGAAGAAAATTTCACGAAAGATGAAGTTTCACAACATACAAAACACGACTTACAAAAAATTTTGGCATGGTTTATAATAGATTATTTCACACATAATATAGATTTAATTTCACATGCAAGAAAAAATTTTAGACCTCAAAACTCAAACGATGATACTGCCATCACAGAACAATCAGACTATGTTTGGGACCCCGAATGGTCTCATTATGCATTCATAAATATCCCACAATCAATCTCCAGTCAAGCAATAAGTACAATATCTTATGTAAGAGATTATGTAAAAGTAACACCATTAACCATTGATGCAACACCATTAAACTATAATACATTTTTACCTGATATGCAAAATAATAGTTTAAACTCCACAGTCATACACAATGAAAACCTCAATGGAACTAGGAATCTCACTCAACAAGATATCCAGACACCATCGCACTTCATAAATGAAGAAATCGTACACACAACAACTACACAACAAAGCATTTCACCGATACGTCCAAACTTAACAACACCAAGAAATACAAACTCTTCACAAACACAGGTAACCTTACAATCAACCGTTTAACCTTCGGTTGCCCCAAAATATTCACACATGGATTATCAAATATACAGACCCATGACAGTACCGTCAAAAACACGTAAAACGTTCACTAGAAACAATTTTGCAGAACATAATTATAATTACACACATTCATCAAAAACAAATTATCCCCCACGAAGAATTTTTAATAATTATACAAGATCTCGAAATTGGGATAACCCAATGGCACAAACTAATTCAGTAAATTTTCAAACAAATTTACATCCTCCACAGGATCGTAGTGAAAACTATCCATTTTTTCAACAAAATAAAAATAAAAAACAAACATCTTATCAAATGGATTACTTATCCTCAGATGATGATTTTTTACAACCAGATATATTTGCACCATATAATCAAGAATATCGTGGACAAGGAGTACAGAAACCACAAACAAATCATAGAATTTTTTCTCCACAACCGATAGATACACAAAATCAACAACCAATTCAGCAACAAAACCCAATTAATACAAAATATTTTCAACCAATTCAGCAACAAAACCCAATGATCACACACTCGTATCAACCGACACAAATGCAAAATGAAATACCACTCCCATATTATCTTCAACAACACGAAATAACAAGAAATCAACTTTCAAATTTTTCTCAAACGCCAAATGCAGCAGAATCATTACAAATGACAATGAATCCATACCTTATGGGTGGATCATCAATAACATCAAATAAACCTTTAATGGTATTCACAGGAACAGACCCTGAATATTCTGTAGAAGACTATTTAAATGCAGTAACAGCAAATTTGATTTTAAATATAGGACCTGAACCAACTAATACGCCACTACATCAAAACTGGATACATCGACGCACAGCGTTGATACAGACAACCTTAGACGGCGCAGCCCAAAAATGGTTTTCAGTATTGCCTCTAGAAATAAAATCAAATTGGAAAAGGTTTACACAAGAATTTTCAAAAATGTTTGACTCAGAAAGAAACAAACAACAACAACGAGTTTTATGTAATGAAATTCGCAGATTACCAAATGAAACCATCAAGCAATTAGCAGTACGCATCGAAACACTAGTTCGAAAAGCATATTCATTAAATACACATGACTATAAAAACACAAAGATGACAGAAATCCTAATGATGACCTTAACACCGCAATTAAGGAAAATAGCAATAAAAAAGAGAGCATCCCATCCTTCTTCAATTCGAGAACCCGATTTAGATTTTCGAAAACAAGTAGAACAAGAACAAGCAGAAATCACAATGAAACTCGAAGAAACAGAAAATCTGAAATTACAATATGTTAATCGAATTGAAACAAAAACCACAAGTATCAACAATATACAAGAATCAGATACAGACCTTGTTGAAAAAATCACTGAAATACCCAATATTTATGAAAAACACCCAAACTTTAAAGGCAAACCATCTTTCAAAAAATGGTGTAATTATTGCCGACGATACGGACATAGTATTTCTGAATGTAGACAAAAAC